GGTGCCGCAGGTATTGGCCTACTTCGGTGTTCTGGAGTACGATTCCGAACTGAGACAGAAGTTGGATAAACGTGAGTCCACCTTTATACTGCGTCTGATTATCATACGTTTGCCTTTCACGCAGATACTTTAAACTTTATTGTCAAGACACCTATGCAGCAACCGGATCTTCGAATAGATTGGGGCCTAACGAAGGGTACACGTTTCCCAGCGCCGGGCCGATCGGAGCGCGTCGTGCCCAAATAAATTGTCAATACAAGCGAACATGCGAGTCCCAGGAAGTAATTGAAAAAAAACCGACTCGAGCGCTCGGACAATATTTTATTCGCCTGACGTTTCGAGATCCGTCGCGGATTCGTCATCAGAGACATTAGCAGAGAGCAGTAGCAGCTACGGATCTATTAACATTGAGAATCACAGCACGTCACTGGAACCGTTTGTATGGTTTTCTAACTATAAATTGGAAAGCAGGCATTCCAAGAAATGTATTTTCAAGGAAAAAAAGGTTATTTGAGAAATAAGGTGACTTTTTTCGGTAAATTTTCGACGCTGGACCCCTAGGTCGTCGTCAGACCTGAGAAGATTTGTAGTAAACTATTAAGATTTCAAAAGTGCTAGCGCTGTGAGCGCTAATTGCCAGCTGCAATTATGGTCAGTCCATGGTGTACAAAATTAGTAGTCGTAATAGCGTAAATGCTAATTGGGAACTGTAATTAGCGTCAGTCCGCGGTGGAAAATTAATAGTCATCCTGTTTGTGCGCTGATTAGCAGTTCCGGTTCACGTTAGCCCGTAGTTATCTGCTGTCGTGTCTTCCAACTTTCTTTGAGATGTTTGTACACACCATCCAACTCCGACGATGCGTGTTTTGTCCCACAAAAGGGGTCTCCTGTATCAAGACAATGCATAACTACTTCGGTCAAATGGTCACGTCCACTGTCAGTTGGTGTTCGTGGATGCGTGTGGAGACGGGTCTTCATGTTTGGCCAAAATATACGGTATCAGAAGCTGCGCATGGGATCTTGTAAGTGACTTCTTGCTTATCAAGATAGCCAACCCTATCCTTTGGGTGTACAAGCTGGGTCCGTAAAGTAGCCGTCGGTTTGTGCGCCACTTTTATTTGGCATTTCCGAAGGTGCCTTTAAACGAGTTCAGACACAGTCCCTCTAGGACTCTATTATAAGTCTCACCGCGTGGCTGTCTGATGAGTCCTCTGGCAAACAATAAGCGTGCTTGGCAGGTTGCTCTGTCGATGTGTGCGTGTGTAGTTGCTGCCAGAGATCCAGGTCTCAAACAGCTCTAGACTTGTCTTGCCTCAGTTCAACGTCATTATTTCTGTGCCCTAAAAATTGAGTTCGTAGCCTGTGTTCAGAGTGACGACAGCGACTTGGCACTGGTTGACCCTCCGCACCGCCGGTTTGTGCTCGGGCAATAATTTTTCATGTGTTCAGATTAGTATCCTTTCCCTAACATTCTCTCTATCTCTGAAAAATGCACTGACGATTCCGGTGATTTGACCCTTATTTTTCCCGATCGGTTATCCAGCTCTACCTTGGCGTTCATCGATTTGCAGTACGGCCTCAAGACAGACATGTAAAAATGTAAAACTGTCCACCATATCACACTTGACAGTTACTATTTTGGCAAAACAGATCTTAATTGTTCCCTCCTAAATCGTTCTTTTAGCACTTTATTCTCGTGCCTTTTTTGATCTAGATGAATTGTTGGAAAGTGGCTCGGCACTGGAGGTCGAAATTAGAGGCACCTGTCTGCACGCCGTGGAGGTAAGTCCTGTCTCCTTCCCGTTGACGCACATCAGCCCGCAGCTTCGTGGCATCCAAGCTCTTTTCTGGTCGACTTAACTGTAAATCACCATTGTTACATGATGGTTGAGAGAAGAGACAGCCAGCTCGATTTGTGGCTCTAACCTAGCATATATCTGACTAACTACTAAACTTGACGTGCTTATAAATTATCGAACCCCTGGCTTGTGATTGGTAACCGACTACATAACTGCCTTTCTACGGACTCAGATCAGGCTCCTTTCAACCTTTCGCTTCTGGTCGGACGAGCAATCGGGCGTGACTTGTGATGCAATGTTGGCTGACAAGTTTCTCTGGATCTACTGACGGGCCCATGAGGCTGGAGTTTAATCTACCTCACCGATGCATCGCGCGCTGCATATACTGCTAACTACATTAGGGAGCGGGGTGACAAATAAACCGCCTTCTTCTCAATCGTATTTTAATTGCATGCGTTGGGTCCCTGGTATCGAATGCGTATAGACTGTGTTCTGGTTGGCTGGCTAC